ACCTTGGCTAAAACTTCTTTGCTGCAAATTAGACTTACTTCTTTTTCCTTATTTGTAGAAAGCAAAGTTCAGTTTCTTCTCTGGTCCCTTTGGAATTTTTTTTTTTTTTTAAATAATCCAGACATTTCTATGTGTAAGAAGTTGTTGCTAAGTATAACGCATGATACAGATGTTATGTGCTAATGAAAGCAATGGTTATTGTTAGTGGAACAGATGCATGTTATATATAGAAGGTTGCTCCTACTGTGATAAGGAAGGGAGACTATCTCCTAAAACCCTTGAACCTGGCCTTGTGACTGAAAAACATACACCCCCAGTTGGCAGGAAGTCACTGATATCTTGATAGTAGCACATTGTTATTACTGCCATTAAATGAAGGTTTCCCCCCAGATTGAGAAATGTTTTCTTTCTTATTTCTTCTAGACTTCACTGAGGGTTCCCAAGTTCCTGAGAGGCCCCCTAAACCGTTCCCTCGGAGAATCAACTCTGAACGGAAAGCGGGTAGCTGTCAGCAGGGTGGTGGTGCTGCTGCCTCTGTCGCCGCTACCTCACCTCAGCTCTCCAGCGAGATCGAGAACCTCTTGAGTCAGGGCTACTCCTACCAGGACATTCAGAAAGCTTTGGTCATTGCCCACAACAACATCGAGATGGCCAAAAACATCCTTCGGGAATTCGTTTCGATCTCTTCTCCTGCCCATGTAGCCACCTAGCACACTACCTCCCGCCGCAGCTTTAGAGTGAGCTGGGAGCTCTTATGTAGCACCTAGAAGGGCAGGGCTTCCTTCGGAGACTTAACAGTGGAGTCTTGCCCTCTCTGTGGGATATCACATCTGTGGTTCCAGGATTTCAAAGCAGTGGAATGAAAGTGGAGCAGCTAGTATGTTTGTTGTTTTATGGGTCTTGAGAGTGCATTTGAGGGTGCCCTTCAGTCCCCACTGAGAGAAGGTGTGGACATTATTCCATGGTAGCCTACCTGGGTAACAGTCCAGAAAGCCGCGTAGATAAGTATTGTGCTGTAGATTTTAACTGGGGACTTAAGACTTTCCTGGGTTAAGGATGTGGCTAAGTGTCTGTCTGTCTGCCTGTGGTTATGTGTATCCTTGTGATTATAGGATTAACCTGCTGTGTGTGTTAATCCCAGGCAGGGAATTAGCACAAGAGGTTTAGAAGGAGTCTTTTAAAGACTTCCATCTACTGTGGTATTATACCCAACCCTAGTGTGTGTACAACTTCAGCACTCCCCTTTGGCTTAGATTATCAAGTGCATAGCTAAAGTCTTATATTTTTAGAACACTTTAGAACACCCTCCCTCTGTTCTTTCCTCTATCAGCTTTTTCCTCCTCCTCCTCCTCCTTCTCCTTGGTGTTCTGTCATTGGCAGTGGGTTTGCTATGACCAGCCTTACTGAGGCCAAGGAGCTTAGGGGATGTTTTGTATTACGTGTGATGGTGTTGGTTTGTGTGGTAGAGAGGTGGGAGGAAAAGTACTGTTGCTGTATCATTATAGTCATGTTTGATACTAGAAGCTAACACTGGTCACTCCAAAAGCACTGTTTCTATAGGAACATTGAATTTGTGAAGATGAGATGTTTTCATGATCCTAATTACCTAACGACTGATTTGAGATAGAGGCCTTCAAATACATTCCATGCCCTCCCCAGAAAATCGTCTGTGGGAGTATGTTGCCTTGCTGCCAGGTCTGTGTTCTGATGTAGGTCATGAGTCTTTCTACTCAACGGGAAGGGAAGAACATTTGTTTCCAGGATAACTTTCTGGCCCAAATACCATGAAGTTTTTTAGGAAGCTTCATTCACATGCTATTTAAATGCCCGAAATAGTTAGTCAGGATATTTATCTGTTCATTTTTCTTCCCAGTGATGAATTAATTTCAGCTTTTAGGGTGTCTTCCCTTTGAACGTGAGCCAGGTTAGATTTTCAGAAATGATGTTTTTCTTTGCCCACGGCAGCACAGCATGTTGCTGATAATTCGCACCTTCCTACATTGATGCCAACCAGTGACTTGGTTTTTTTTGTGCCTACGGCTTTGGGAATGTAATGTCTCTTTCCTCCGTTCCTTCCCCTTTCCTCTTTACCTTAGGTCCTGTATATACTCTTTAATTACTGTGTTCCTCATAGTAATTAGACATCATTTGGTGAATAATTACTTCACTATAATCAAAGACAACATGGAGAAAGCCTGGCAGTTTGCATAATCGCAAGTTCATAAAGAAGATTGAAAGTCCAGTTTAGAGAACCAATTAGTTAGTTACATAATGCCCTGGTAAATGAGTCCCCTTGAGTTTGGTTAGTTCTCTGTCCTGAGCCTTTTGCTGACTTGCCTACGAGGTGTAATCTTCTTCAGCGTCAGAAGCAAGCCTTCCCTTCTTCAGAATCTAAATCATGCTTTTGTCTTCAAATTCAGACAGAAATCGACAACTCCCATCAGTTTTCTTTCTAGTCTTGTCATCTTTAGAGTTTCACCTTGTTCCAACTCTCTCTTGACATTTAGCTACTCCTAGATCTTTTGGTTTTATCCACAGGCTTTAGAGCTATTCATATTCCCAGAGTAAACAGTATAGGACATGGTGTTGATTAGCCGTGGATACCTTCTGCCTCATCTATAGACAGAAAATGGTATAGCTGGCCGTGCGTGGTGACTCATGCCTATAGTTCCAGCACTTTGGGAGGCCAAAGTAGGAGGATGGTTTGAGGCCAGGAGTTCAACACTGCCTGGGTAACATAGACCCCCATCTTTACAAAAAATAAAAATGTGAGCTGAGCGTGGTGGCACATGTCTATAGTCCCAGCTGTTCAGGAGACTGAGGTTGGAGGATGATTGCTTGAGCCCAGAAATTCAAGATTGTAGTGACCTAGGGTGATGATGCCACTACTTCCCAGCCTGGAAAGATGCTGTCTTTTTAAAAGAAAAAAATAATAAAGCCAAAAAAAGGGAAGAAAAGAAAAGAGCAGAGCCTACCATTAGGTACAGGTAGGGGTCCTGAGTTGAGATTGGGGTGGAAGTTAGGGAAGGTGTCAGTGAGTAGGAAATAGTAGACTATTATGTATTTCTAAAAGCCTGTAGATACAGGGTTTCATTAGAAGTAACATTCTGTTTTACATTTTGTTTAAATATTGAAGGCCCTAGTTGAAGAACTGGGAAAAAATGGCAGCAGTTTCTAAGCCTGTCCATGTTGCAATTTTTCTTTCTCTGCAGATATTGCCCATAGTCTGAAGATCTATGAAGAGCACAAAGCACTGAGGCTGGGCTCACACCTGGAATCCCAGCGCTCTGGGAGGCTGAGCTGGTGGATTGCTTGAGCTCAGGAGTTTGAGACCAGTCTGAGCAAGAGCAAGACCCCATGTCAAAAAAATAGCCAGGCATTGTGGTGGGTGCCT